CAGAATGACTAAACACTAAATTATTTCTTTACTAAAACCTCTGTAACTTTGCTCCAGTTCATTTTAGCAGCGTGAATCTTTGCTCAGGTGATGTCCACAGGTGGATTTATGGTTTCCAAGAGTTTTTAGTCTGATTCATTATGGTTTTAAATGGGTTATATACTGTTTAATGAAAACATTATTCAGGTGAGAGTGAAATTATTTTTGTTATGTTCCATTTTCAATATCTCCAAAACAYCAGCAGCTGTTTTAATCCTTACACTTCTGATGAYCCRCACACAGTATCACATCACAGTAAACATGTTAAAGTTCATGCTGATGATGAAGATTAGTTGTCTGTGCTGGTCCAGCTCCTGCAGTCCTGCAGCTGGACCAGTGTGTGACGTGTGTCTCTGCAGGATTTAAGGCCTTACTGAGGTATGAAGGCTTCGACGGAGACGCCACCAGAGACTTCTGGCTGAATCTGTGTGTTCCTGACATCCACCCAGTGGGCTGGTGTGCAGCTGGAGGGAAACCTCTGGTCCCCCCTCAGAGTAAGACCCACTTCCTGTCTGCAGTCTGCCTGAGCTGCTCCTCCTGTACTCAGAGTTATTAATGTTTTTGAAGTGAAGCTGCTCTGGTTCTGAAACTCGTGTTCATATGAAACTGAACCATGGAGGCAGATTCCTGTGGTACTGATTGGTCAGCTTCACTGATCCAGTTAGGCTCCGCCCATCATCAATAGTCCAAACCTTCAGCAAGCTTTTCAAACCAACTAGAGAAAAGAAGTCTTGTGATTGGCCGTCTGTCCTCAGGTATCCTGCACAGGTTCACCAACTGGAAGACTTTCCTCATCAAGAGACTGACGGGGTCCAAAACTCTTCCTCCGGATTTTTCATCCAAGGTGACAAACCTGTTCTGGATCAAGTTTTAGCTGAGGTTCAGCTCGTTTCATGAAGCTTTTAGCTGCAGAATAACTGGAACACATCAACCTCAGGTGCAGGAGAGCATGCAGTTCCCCTTCAAGAAGCAGATGAGGGTGGAGGTGGTGGATAAGACCCACCTGTGTCGGACTCGGGTGGCTCTGGTCGAGCAGGTGAGTGTCGCTGGGACCCACGTGGTTCCGGTTTGGTTCTGGCCCCCCTGACGGCGGTCTCGTCGCAGGTGATCGGCGGCCGGCTGCGGCTCGTGTACGAGGAGTGCGAGGACGGGTCCGACGACTTCTGGTGTCACATGTACAGCCCGCTGATCCACAGTGTGGGCTGGTCCCGCTCCATCGGGCACCGCTTCAAACGATCCGGTGGGTCAGAGGCTCACGTGGGGGTCTGGAGGGGGGCGGGGACTGAAGCTGAAGGTGTGTGTGTGTGTGTTTACAGATGTGACGAAGAAGCTGGACGGACAGACGGARGCACCTGGACAGCTGTTTGTCAAGGTGAGCCTCACCTGAGCCGCTCTGACCTGATCGTTGCCTCTCAATCTTTTATTCTCATAGGATTATTCTCGGTTTACAAAAAACACTTCCTGTTYAAGTCCTCGTTAACTAACGACCTCGTTAGCACAGCTCCGCCTTTTCACCATGTGAAGGTGACCGCCTGGTGAGATGATGTCACTTCCTGTTTGCTGCAGGTGAAGGAGGTGGATCAGAGCGGACCCTGGTTTGAGGACGGGATGAAGCTGGAGGCCATCGACCCTCTGAACCTGTCGGCCATCTGCGTGGCCACAGTGAGGAAGGTGAGCTGAGTCTTCATCATGGAGGTCACTGCCATGACCTCTGACCTCTGACAGCTGACCTCTGACCTCTGACAGCTGACCTTTGTCCTCTGACCTCTAACATCTGACCTCTGACCTCTAACCTCTGACCTCTAACCTCTGACCTCTAACCTCTGACCTCTAACCTCTGACCTCTA